TGGGGTGTTGCCAGGCTGGTCCCATAGCGCCGCCCCTCGGGGCTGCGGGACCAACCCGGCAGCACCCCAGCTGCTCTGTCCCAGGCGTCCCCAAGAGCAGCTGGGGTGCTGCCAGGATGGTCTTGCAGCGCCGAAGGGTGGCACTACCGGAACAACCTGGCAGCACCCCAGCTGCTCTGCTCCAGGTGTCCCTGATTCAGCTGCTGCTGAAACTGACCAGCAGCGGCTGAATCGGGGGCGCCTGGGGCAGAGCGGACTATCAGAAGGGGGGGGGCTATGAGGGGTCTAGGGTGGCATTCCCCCCCACCCCAGACCCCTCATAACCCCCCCTTCCGATAGTCCCGCATATCTGATAATCCGGCACCCCCTGGGTCCCAAAGGTGCCGGATTATCGGAAGTTTACTGTAATAGTAACTTCTACTTTCCATAATGGTGTTCAGCAGTCCATTATTTTTACTAGTATTTCTCTGTAATTAAGTCAAACAAGTTAGACCATAAACCAAAAATGAATAATTTTTTAATATCCAAAAATCTAGTGCTAGTGGGAAAATCTAGTTTCGATTCTGGGAAGTTACATTTTTCCTAGAAATAATAAAAGGCAGTAACAAGCGCAAAGTGAATCCTTTCTGCAGTCACAGGGTTGCTTACTTTCATTTTTTGGGGGGTAGGAGGGAACTAAATAATTCATTGCATTTTATGTTATATCACTAATAATCATTGAGCTCAAAGTGTTATTGATTTGCTCATTTGAATATTTATCATTAAGCACTACTTAATGATATTCACTGTCTTTTGAAGCTTTGTAGTTAAAAAATACTGTTTATTGAGTATATCCCTAACTTTTACCTAACAGCCCAACTCAAATTGAAAGAATAAGAGAAAAAAAGAACACCAATCACTAAAAACAAAACCAGAAAAGAAAATCCCCATGCCCAGACAGTTGTGCAGAGCAGCCTTGCAGCTAGGGACCCATCACCAACATGGAAGAAAACTCAGGGAGGCCCAGAACTGTGGAGTGGGAAGGTGGGCTGTAGACTGGGAAGCAAGGGTGCAGCCTGGATAAGGAGACTTTCTACTGGAAGCAGAGGCACCAAGAGCCCAGGATCAGCATGTCCAAGTGCTTCCATTCCTGGTGGCAGACATGCAAGCCTGCCCACATCTGGGGCTTTCCTCAGAAAGTGGGGACTTGGGGGACTATATGGCAAAAACAAGTAGTCAATGAGTAACATGATAGTTGCTAATAGTCAACTAAAGTCAATGGTGATAGTTGCTAATAGTAAACTAAAGTCAATGGGACTGGATTGCTGTCCTGGAAAAATGATGCTCATAACAGAAACTTGTCAATAACAGGATTGCTAATAATTTGCATCCATTGTATCTGCTTTAAAAATAGTGGGTTTAATAAGAGTAAATAGCTCACTCTGAAGGGCCAAAGGTTGCCTTCAATTTCACTGCACAATTTCTGTAAAATCTGTGGTTAATTTTTCCTCTTTGAAAGCCTGTACAATCACCTTACTATGCCAAAACTTTAAATGTAACTAAAATAGAGAATTTTCTATTTTATTTAAAGTATTCTCTCTAAAGTTAAAACAAAGGAGCTGGGAAGGTTTAAAAAAAAAATCACAATTTTAACATTCAAATTGAGACTAAGACACTTTCCAAAAATAAAGGAACACAAAGCACTAGAGAATTTATCAAAAATCTGAGTCACGTACCTTTGTTAATCCTTCATATTTTCCATAATCTGTACTTTTTAGCCAATCCATCAGTTTGGCATATCGAAGCAAGTCTCTGTGAAAGGGATGGTGATTGGGTAACATCAACTCAAGAGAGTGCTGGGCAAGTGTGGAACTTTGGTCATGACCCTTGATAAAAGATATTAAAATAAGCATAGAAGCAATGTGTGTAAACATACCACTATAGATGCTATCTGATTAGCCTAGAAATTATATTATCAAATAAACAAAAGGAAACAGAAAAGTGAAACTGAAAATTACTTTTGATGTGTAATTCATCTACAGGTGATAGCCTGAAAGATATCATGCAATAGCCATAGGGCCAGTGTACTGGACTGTGACTTAGGAAACCTAGGTTCTATTCCCAGATCTGACACTGGCCTGTTGGGTGACATTTGGAAAGTCTTTTCTCCTCTGTGCTTCACTCAGCCCATTTGATGATGCACTGACTTCTTATGTAAAATGATTTGAGATCCACTGATGAAGAGTGCTGTATAAGAGTTAGACTGTCTAAGAGACCCGATTGCAGCTTGAGCCTCAAGCAGCTGTTACAGTGGTGGGCAAGATACAGTCTCTGCAGGTGGTATCCAGCTTGCCAAGCCCTTTGATCCGTCCCGCAGCCTGCCCTGTTGTACCCCTTTTCCCCAGTCCAATCAAGACCCAAGGGCAGGGGAGCGGGCAAAGTCTCTTCCCCCCGCCCACCCAAGGCACATGGCATCAGAGGGAACCACCAGCTATTCAAAACAACTGGCAGTTCCCTCTAGGCACCATACACCCCTGGGAAGGTGGGGCAGGTGCAAGAGACCCTGCGTACTCCCACAGGGGAGTGCATGAAGTCTCCCCTTTCCCACCAGGGGTACGTGGTGCCTACAGAGAACCACCCCATCCCTCTGAGGTCCCGCCCATTCTGGAGCCAGCCTGCCTCCACTACTAAAATTGGTGAAGGGCCCCCGCCACACACACACAAATTGCCTGCCCTTGTGCTAACACTGAGGCAGAGTATTAAGGTTTCTCAATATTTCTCAGGAGAAGACCCTATTTTACCTAGGACATACTTCAACCATTGGAGCTGAAATCTTCTATGCCAGGTGTCTGCCTCAACCTGGGTTGTTTTTTGTTGTTTTTTTAAAACCTTCAGCCAAAACCATTTACCATTCATAAAAATACTACTCTGCTAAAAACATTCTGTGACTGTTCTTTGAAATGTTTTAGTGTCCTCATGTTTGGGAGCAAAGACTTGAAATTTAGCAGGAGTGGTCTTTAGATCATGGATGTGTCTTTTGCTGTACCTGTGAATATCAGTAGAGCCAGCCTGGTTACAAAATTTGTATCTGCATATGTATCCACAAAAATGAACTGCAGATACTACATGGATATCCATGGGTGTGGATACCCACGATAGCTGCAAATTTGAAGGGTTCCAAATACAAAGTTTGTAATCCGCATATTTGCAAAAATGAGCTGCAGATATCTGCAGATTTGCTGGGCTCTAAATACCAAACCAAATGTGGCCAAGTTTAAGCTTCTTAAAAACTGTAATTTGCACAAAGCCAGACTTGATTGAACTTAGCATCTAAAACACAGTGTAGATTCCCATCTGTACTGAGCAGCTGTCAGCTAAGAATGCTCCAACCCTTGGCTAAAGGAGGGGATACAAGATTTTCCCTGCAATTGCTGCAGGTCAAATGAGATCTGGACCAGAACTCAAAAGCAATGCGGATGAGGCAGAAAAGGTCCAAGCCTGGAGGCAGAGGCAACAGGAAGAAAAGTACAGTTCCCTCCAGAGCCAATGGAACTCAAGAGTCTAGTCTCACCATTGCTCTACTGTCCTGTCAGCAAATGTCAGTAAAACCCAATGACAAAAATCTCATCTCCATCTAGTGTTTGTCCATGTAATAATAGTAGGCTGCCATCATCTATCAGTTAGTTACTGTTAGACCTATTGCATAGATCTCTTGCCATTTGAACTAAAAGCTCCAATACTGCTAAGGATTTGAAGTGGATGTCAATATGTCGTCATATGGCACTGCATGCAAAAGTTAAGCGCCAGAATTAAGGCAGCCCGTGTCACTTTAATAAAGTCCCCTTATGCACAAAAATTATGATTGTCTAATCACATGATCACACACATTTTTTTTCCACTAGGACTCCTGCCTCATTCAGTTCACAAGATAAATGGTGCTCAATTAAGAAGTAGCTAATCAGTATTTATTCCCTCCTTGATCAATGTGACCCCAGTCTTTATTTATTGCACACTACTCAAACACTGTTCTGCAAACAGAATTATTAGTTTTCTCAAAGGCTTTTCTACAGCAGCCATCACTATAGTATACGAACATTTTATAACTGGCAAACAGTGTCAGAAAAATGAATGATAAAATGTTCCCTAATTTTAAATGAGGCACCAAGGACCTGATTTTTCAGATTATATAGCGGCTAATATGGTCAAAGCACAACTCCTATTGACTTCAGTTATAGCTGTGAAAACTCAGCACCTCTACAAATAGACCGTGATCTCAAATCAGGTACCCAGAGAAATGAGGAACATGGTAACCATCTGTGAAGTCTAGTTTAAGGACAGTTCAGCATCAGAGAAAACTTGTGGCAGAAGCAGAAACAGAATTCAGTTTCTCAGAGACCATTCAACTGTCTTGATCATCCTCTATTTTCCTGCAATTCCTGCCTCATTCGCTACACACCTTTTAAGTTCCACAACAAATGAAACAAACAACTGCCTCCTTTAAATCAGGGTTGTGCAGAATCACTGGAGCATAGTCTATCTTGTACACTGAATGACAGAGGACCTGGGGAAAAAAAGAGTGTGCAATCACATAATTAAAATTATATTATAACGCACAGGCTGAATTAAGGTTGTACAGGTAACCTTAATTCTGGCATTTTCTAAATTTTGAGTGCTTGTCTTTGCAACCTTAATAATGTTATTTTACAGTAATAGCTTTGAGTGTGTTTAATACAAGCAGAGATGATAAATGCACTCTGGAGTCATAGTAGACTGTATGATTGTATTTCACAGATTTCAGTTTTCTGAAGTCACTACATGCTATGCTGCACTATGCAGGAGGTAATTTTACCTCTGATTCACAACTAAACTATGGGCCAGATCCTGGCCCTCAGAGATTTGTAACTTTTGTGCTTTTCTGGTACTGCAAAGGGCAAACAGATCTGGTGTAAAGCCAATGTAAAACAAAACAAAACAAAAAACACTGTCAGACACTCTCTCCAGATAAAGGGGTATTCTTGAGTAGATCACAGGTGGGATAGGGGTGACCATTTGGCGGGGTGGTCCTAAGTAGAAGATTTTCATTTTTGTAGTTTAGGGAAGCCATTAGGCTGCTTTAAGTTATAGGAGATGCCAATATGGCACCTAAAACACAGGGGAAAAAAAAAAAAAGACTTGGGATCTTCCCGTATAGCCAATTCCCACTGTACCAAGCAAGTATGGTTCAGCTAGACTTGGAATTAGGCCCAATCTATCCTTTATAGTTTTAAACTGTAATACAGTAGTGGATACCTAATTTAAATGAAGACACTTAAATGATATGCCCAGTTTACATATTAATTGAAAAATAACCTTCACTAAGCACTTCAATCCAAACAATTCAGTGTATTTAAAATTCTTTAGACAAACTAGTCAAACTAAGATGATTTATTAATTACTACTACAACCTCCTCTCTCAAAATCAGAATGGTAAAAGCCACTAGAAAACTACATCCAATTTCGATGAGGTAGCAGATAACATTAAATGATTCCTAGACTGAGATGACTTTTCTTGTTTGTCCCAGAAAAGACATTCAGATAAATTATGTTTTGTCTCTAAAACCCAAGTGAACCTTTAAATTTGATTTTACCAAATACAAACCAGTAACCTATAGAACTGCTGAAGGCAGGTCACACCTTGGTATAAGCACAGATAGGCACAGGCCACACTTGAGTCATCCCTGCTGAATGAGGAGAAAGTGTGATCTTTGTGGTAATCTGAAGTATGCATTGTTAGTCTTTACTGCTGCATATTTATTTAAAACAAAACAATTAAAAGCCAGTGATTAGCTGGGTTTAACCAACAAACAAGAGTAAATAATGTATTATATTCCCATTAGTTAGGGAGTTAACACTGTTAAAAAGGCTGTACAAAATACTCTGAATTGTTCTTTGATGCCCCTCACCCTCTTTCAGGTATACTTTTTATAGGAATTCAGTATAGAAAGCCTCTTAGTCATCTATTTCATCCTCCTACTATGCAACCTGGTTTCCCATAGTATATTTCAGTTGTTTTGTTCAATCGAAACTCAATTGATAGGGCTTCCATTTCTTCTCTTATGAGACTACTCTGCAGTTTACCTGATGTTACTGTTAGGACATTCTCAGATATTCACCAAAAAGTTTCTATTTCATTCCGTAATTCTGATTCATACCCCTCTTGTATCACATCAGAGAATTTCCCTTTCTGCTTGGTATTCTTCACATAGTTATAAGTTGATCACATTATATTTATTTTTCCTTCCAAGTCAATCCGTCCATCTTAATTTTTCTGCTGCTCTACTCTGAGCAAATAGTTGGCTTAAAACTTTAAAATGTCAGCATCAAGGGGCCTAGAACTAAACAGGTATTGTTTCCCCAACATCACCACATAAAAAGGAATACTACCTCTCTGGCTCAGAGTGTACTGCCTCTAGATCAGCAGTTCCCAACCTTTTCCAGATGGGGACCCATTTTGACAATTCAGGAAGGCTTGGTGACCCAAGGCAATTCAAAAATGGGAGGGGGGGGGTCAGAGTCACGTGTGGAGACAGTTGGCAACCCTTTTGAAATGTAATGGTGACCCATATTTGGGTCCCAACCCATAGTTTGGGAAACCCTGATCTAGATACATAGCACAAAATTACATTTTTTGTGTCATCACATTGCACTGCAAGCTTTTGACAAGTTTGCGGTCTACTGTCCCATAGGCCTGTTTCAAAACAAGAAAGCTCAACTGATTTATGCTTTCCTTACTAGCCAAACCTGATAATATCTTAAAGTTACATATAATTTTTTAAATCAAGTACAAGTTTAAAACAACAAGCTATGATTAGAACACAGGCAAATAAACATTAAATGTTATTAACTGATCAATGTTAGCAGACTTTTTGCAAATGCAATGAGCGCAAATCTGGAGTTGCATTTTTCTGTTTAAAATGTCAACAGATTTCGGGTGGAAGGGAGTTGTTTGAATCTTTTAGAATAAAAATGTCAATGCACTGGTACCTAAAACTCTGTTTTTAAAATTAAACAAGCTACATTATAAATTCAGAGTTACAATATCTAAGATTGGATATTGGAGTTTATTACATCTAAAATAAATCCATCTGACAATATAATCTGATTGTATGTATGAGCAAAAGACTGAACAGCTTCATATTTTCACACTTGTCTTTTCTGGTTTAGGATTGCTTCTTAATTAAACAAAAAAGTGTTTGTAGGAGAAATTCAAATTACACAAGAAATTCTAAACAAAAAGTGCAACTCTCAACAAGATGTTAAAGACACAAGAGAAAATGCACCAGTTAGAGACATTTTTAATATTCATTTAAATGGGCAACCTCTGCATTTGGTTAATCCAATCGCCTAATAAAACAGGATGTCTTGTAAGAAAACACCCTTGACACAACAGACTTTCATACCTGGGGCTACTGTTCAATATGCTACATTTAAAGTACAATTCATTGTTGGTGCCACAGTTGAAGATGACAGTTTAAACGAGGTCTACCAGATCCAAAGTTCTTCTCTGTCCATGGATCTGGTAGAGAAATCACTCAAGTCTGCTGAATGGGACATCAGATTTTAAATTTGCACCTCACAATGTCTTCACACAAGGATTTAGCAAAAGAAGAAATTGGACCGGTGCCAGCACTTAACCAGGCACGAAGATTGGAAATCTCTGCAAAAGTGTAAGTTTATTGTTTCTTTATATGTCTACCTCTGAAGTCTCCTGCAGTACGAAGCAATATAGTTTAGTTAAGAGATCAGAGGAATACAACCAATCTATTACATTGTAGTAAGGAGAGCTGACTCTCTACTCTTTAATACACAACTATCTTTTTATTGCACTGTCCAGAAAGTACAACTTCACGTATGACCTGAAAACCATTTTCTCCACTTGTTAATTTGGAGTCACAGACAGATAAAGAAGTGAAGTGCTGCAGATTTCTTTTTTTTTCCCAAATGTAAAAGGGGTTAAAAAAATTAGAAAGCATACAACCTAACAGTGAAAATTCTCAACAAAGACAGCAAGTTATTCTTCTACAGAGTAGAGAATACTTTAAATAGAAAACTCCTTAATTTTGTCATTACAGGGCCTGCACTATTGAATGCAATGTTATGTGTGCACAGAATTATCCATCATTTGAATCGTCCAATATTTGAAAAACCTCTTCATTTTTTGCAATACCTGTAAGACTACTAGTTACCATCTAAGCCTGCTTTTTTTATTTGGTGCTGTTCGATTATATTGGTTTGAACATATTTTCATTTTGTGGCACGAAAGAAACTATTATTACATTTGCAACTTGTCACTCAACTGCCTTCGTTACGTTCACACTGTCTGTCCATGAACAGACACACAAAGCTTGAGTGCTGATACAAACATTGGAGGAGGCTCCCTTGTACTCTGCAATCAGTAAAGGCAAGTTTCCTATTTGTGAAGCCAAAGTTGCAACTACTAGTTAGATTTAGCAAGCTTTTAAAACAAAATTAATTAGACAAGCTTGGATCAAACCTGATGTACTCACAGAAAGATAGTAGGACCTGTTATAGAGCTGAAGAAGGGTCTGAGTAAACTAATTGGAGATAAAATACAGGAATAGAAAAAAAAAAAGTGTTGAAAATTGAAAAGCGCTAAAAAACCCACACAACCCCACATAGGAAATGACCTCAGCACAATATGAAATCTAAATCATTTACAAGATTAAAAAAAATACATCAACACAATTCTGCTTGCTGCAAGGTCCATTTAAAAAAAAAAAAAATCACCCCAGAATTTCAGAAGCAAGAGTTTGAGTCGCCTCTGCTTGAAACCTGTCTTATAAACACTTTAATCCAAAACCTTCTACATACCCTCAATTCAAGCATCCTCCATACTGTAAGGATTTAAAAAAGTTATTGTTAAAGTTTGTTATAATTAAAAAGTTATCACTTATAATTTTAGAACAATTCAGCTACAGAACTGAGTCTGCCTATTTATCTTATGTCCAAATCCACGCTTAAACCATAGTTCCAATTTGTTGCAAAGACTGGAATTCAGCCATGTTTTGTAGCCAGGCTACTTGAAAAACTGGAACAATGTCAGTCACAGATTTGGGAGCAATCATTGTACAGTGTCCTTGATGCAATTGTATCTGTGATGGAGCTGGGCCCTTTTGTGGTAGGGAAGGGTCTGTACTTTCAGGGCTTGCCAAGCGGCAGCAAGCTCCGCTCGCCAGATGCGCGGTTCTGCGCTCTGCGCATGCGCAGATCATTCTGCGCATGAGCAGATCGCTCCATGCCAGCTCTTCCGGGATATAATCTACTCGCCATGCACGAGTAGATTACACTGTTTGTCGAGCCCTGCATATTTTAATACTTAGACTGGCTCTCCCTGACTACTGCTCTTTGTTGTTTTAGCTAAAGAACTTTAAGGCTAAAAATAAACTATGGTCATATCACAAAAACCAAACTTTAAGGTACATGTCAAACAATGCAAATCATTTTGTGCAAAGATGTACAGATGGTTATTTCTGTGATACCAATGTTTGAAACCATGAGAAATCTCTGTACTTAAATATTATGCACACTTATTAGATTATTTGTAAATAAATGTGTCAGTCAAGTAAGTTATGTGACTCCAAGTGTGCTCGGATTTCAGTTAATCACATCAAGCTTTCCAACAGTTTGTTTTCAAAGGTTTCAAAAAGGACATCTAGCTGCAAACATGAGGATTA